AGGGCCAGGTGGAGCTGCTGCGAGGGGGCTAGCGGGCGGGCCCTCAGGGGTGGGCTTGGGGACCCGAGCGGGATGAGGCCTCGGCCTTTTCCGGGGCGGGGAAAGATTGGGACCCGAGGGTGGGATCTCTCTCGAGTTTGGTCATGGTGGAGGCCCGAAACTCTTGCCCCCTCCCCTGCGTTCCTCTTCGGGCCTTGAGGAATGTGTCTAAAAGAGCAGACAGAATATCTGCGTGGAGTAAGGACTAGCATCTTTTTTTTTTTTTCTTTTTTTTTTTTTTTGGAGAACTTCTCTGACTGGGGCCACCTGGCCATGAGTTTGGGAAGAGCACGCTCTTGGGACCAAATTCGGAATTATTGCCCTTTCCTGGATCCCACCCCAGAACGGGGCTTAAAGGGCTAGTGCTGCAGTGGAACTCATTGAGGCCTAGAGCCTGGTGGGGGGCCAGCAGCGGGGTCTCCGTGTTGCCCCAGATCTCCCTGTTCGGTAACAAGGAGCTCCCCCAGCCTGCCTAGGGGCATAGAAGCTCGGCTGGTGGTGTCAGCCTTCCCCAAATTCCCCCGTGGGGGGCACTGTATGCTTCTCTATCACTGGTTCTTATTTAAATAAGACTGTTCTGAGGAGGGGGAGAACCTTCGCTACTCAGAGCCCAGCCCCTCCAAAGCCCCAGACTCCCTGCCCGCCTAGCTGCATCACTAACCAGGCTCTGTGACCCAGGCTGCAACTTCACCCCTCCGCTGGCTGCTCAGCTGCGCTGTGGGCAGAAGAGGGGAGGCTTTCCGTGTTGATCACTTCACTCCTGACTCTCACTCTGTCCTACCTCACCCCAGGAAAGGACTCCAAGAGCTAGCCAGAGCTGAAGAAATATGAGTGTGGAAGGATTCCAGAGGTGGCAGTTGATGGGAAAGGGGAAGAAAACCCTGTGCTTCCCGCCTCAGGTCCCCTCTTCCTGTAGGGGCTTACAAGGGTGCTTTCCTGGTGAGGGCACCGCACCAGGAATGAGGGAAAGCTGGATTGCTGAAGGGATATCTTAGAGTTCTGAGCTGGACAGTTCGTCCCTCAGAGCCAATGGCAGGGAATAGAATAGATGACAGTAGAAGGCAAAGCAGCTGGCTTCTTGACAGTGTTTAGTTGATGCTGGTTGAAGGTACGTTTTCATTTCCTTTGTGTGGCTTTTCCTTCAGATTTATCCCTGGAGGAATCTGAATTCTTAAGCGAGCAGCCATGGGTCTCTCTCACTCTCCCCTCTGTGTAATTTGATTGCATTCCAGAGAAGGCATACTTTCTTCTCGGGCTGCTTGGGCAACCAGCAAGCCAACTTTCTGAGTCCCTCATTTACAAACAAGGAAAAAGTGGAGGTAGGGAGCAAACGTTTAATTGGGTCCTTTAGGAGCTCCTTGCACCCCCCTCCCATAGCACCTCATCTCTGGGCCCTCCTCCCTTTGGAGAAAGGGGAAGGAGTGTGAGGCAATTTATTAATAAATTAGTTTCTAGAAAAAAGTTGCTCCTAGCTTAAGTGGTTGTGGTTTTTCTTTATGGTGAAGTTGTTGCCATTGCAGGGCTGTTTTTTTGTGTGTTTTTCTTTTTTGGCATTCTCTTCTCAGAGCTTTAGCACTGGCTGGGTGTGTTGATGATTCAAAAGTAATTACAGTAGGGGAAGTAGAAGAAAGTTGCTGAAAGCATTGGTGACAAAAGAGCCAAAATTGGATCATCTTCCCAGACAGATGGGTGAAATGGCTTCCTGGTACAGCAAGGACAGGGTTGTGTGTAATATCCAAAGTAGAAAAGAAAAGTTACCAGTTTGGCCAGAGAATGGCCATTTATTGAATCCCCATATGAGGGTATCGCCCCATTGCCGAGAGGTTGGGCCATGGGCTTTGGGGTTGAGTGGGGAAAGCCAAGGAAACAGGCCACCCCTGTAACCTCCCAGTGTGAGATGAGAGGGTGGAGACAGCCTCTTCGAGAGCACAAAGTGACTCATAGGCCCTTTGGGGATTCGGAACCTTTGGACCTTTTTGGTTTTTCGGGAGATGGATGTTCCTTTCAGGGAGAGGAGGATAATGCCTTGAGTTGTCTTCTCAAATGTGCAACTGAACAGGTTCCAGTAGCTCACCATCCCTAAGAATCAGGACTGTGGCAGGTTTTTCTAGCTCTTGCTTTCTCCTCCCCATGAGGGAGAATTTCTGCCTTATTCGCTCATGAAAAAGCTCAAACACCTTTCACTGTAGTTGTAGCTAGGCCCTTAACTTGAAAAGCTTAGGCTCAGTCTTTTTGGGGCTTTCTTCCTTAGCTTGCTCTTGTGGGTCCACGGTGCTTGTTTGTAGCTGGCTCCTCTTGCCCTCTGGTTCCTCTCCCTCCTTGCGCAGTCTTCAGTGTTGGCCTCTTTGTGGCTGCTCCTGTGCCTCCTTTAGAGTTCCCCCTCCCCCTTTCTTGGAGTGGGTAGTGGCCTGTGGGGTGACTTGAGCTTCTGTTTGCTCAAGGGAGTACTGCTAACTCAGCAATGAAGTTTGAAATGCCTAACATCCTGAGGCGGGGAGTTTGCAGTTCTGCTGCCGAATATGACTTAACAGCTATCAACTGAGCAGGACTTAGGAATTGCTGTGAAAAACCCTAAGATGGCAAGAGAGGATGGTGTTCCTGTCTCCTTCCTTCTCAACTCTAGGGTCTTAAAGAAACTGGGTGACAGAGAGGTCAGTCCCCTTCTGAATCCCTTATGATCATGGACTTTGTTAAACTGGTAAATGCTGTGTTAGAAGTGTTCCTAATTAAGTATGGGAGAGATAATATGTATATATCATACTTATATACAAATATGTTCCTTTCTCTTCCTCCTCAATTTTCTTCCTGCTAGCTTTTGGGTAATTTGAGGGTATTGTCTATTTCCATTTTGGAATAGGTGGTGGTGGGGATGTGAGGCAGGGGCAGCAGTTAAAGTGTTCATTGTTACTTCAAAGAATTCTTCCAGGAGCAAAATTGGTTGCTTCAGGCCTGGGTGCAAATCCCTGCTTTCACTGTTTACAATGAGACTTGACAGATCACTTTAGTGTTTTGAGTAACTTATCTGTAAAATAGGAATATTGATATCTACATGTCTATAATGCCTGGGACTTAGGTGATTTGTAATGTTAACATCCTTTTTTTACACAGCTAGACCACTGCTACTCAGTACCTCCTCCATTCCCCCAGGACACACAGCACTCAGCACACAGTCATGTGGGTTTTATTGTTAAAGACAGGTGGCCAAGGGTCAGAGGGGACACTGATGTAGGGGCTTGGGCCTTCTGGAAGGATCAAGCTCACGACCTTGCTACACAGACCCCTTCTTTGTGCCAGTGTGACTTGGGGTGGGATTTTATCTGCACTAATGCCAGTAGTATGTGCCTAGGGGCTTTTGCAGTTCTGCCTGGCGCCTGGGCATCTGGAGATGGGAGGACGCCAGGAGGCCATGCACCTCCTGTGAAGAGTCTCTGAAGTCTAAACCTTCTGAGCAGTTGCTTGGCCTCTCAGAAATGAACATAATGAAGATTTGAGACAACTGTGTGCTACATTCTCTTACTGTTTGCATTTGCTTTGAGAATTAATGAACCCAGCGAGATTCAGATTTCTTGTAGGGAATTCTAGTAACGAGAGAAAAATAAATGGGTTTTGAAGAGAAATAGATGTTCTTAAGCTATGTCTCTGCTGCTGTGGTTTTGGGATACAACAATGAGAAAGCACAAAAAGCAGCATAAAACTGCTTTTCATCCTTTCTCAGGCTGGCCAGCTCAGGAAGCACAGAATTAATTCACTTGTTTTGGGGACATGGGATTGGGTGTGGCCCTGACATGATTCTCTCCCTGTCTGAAATGGAGGAATAGTTCCCAACTGGGATGCAGATGAGCTCATTAACATGCAAAACTTATGAAGGAACTAGTAGAAATCAAAGTGGAAAAGTTAGTTGACTTAGAACTGGAAACCTCTCTGGACCAGAGGCCAACTAGCACAGAGTCCATGCCACCAGCAAAGTGCCCAGACCTTCAGGTCTTAGTGGCCTATGCCTACAAAGAGTGGGAACTCTCCAGCAAGTATGCAGACCTCCCTCTGGGCAGGAGGTGCAAATGTCCTGATCTCTGTGTGGACCTC